AATCATCAACATCACCGTCATCATCATCATCATTATTGTAACTGTCATCAACATCACCGCCATCAATAAATCGTCATCATCATTGTAGCTGTCATCAACAATATCGTCATAATCGTCAACATGGTCATGCTCATCCTCACCATCATCAACATAATCATCACCGTCATCAACATCATCGTCGTCATCGTCAACATAATCATCCTCACAGTCATCATTGTTAACATAATCACCGACAACAACATCATCATCATCACTAACACGCCTGCACTATGGAGTATGTGTGAGAGAGAGGTCGAGTCTACAGAATGCACAACTGTCCAAACAGGACACTTACAGCATTTCGCTTTAAGTTAAGGTACAGAGTATTTATTAGAGCACACGTACACTACATGCACAGAGTACTACGTTACCTGGTAGTCTAGCAGCAGCAGCACGGTACAGCGTACGTTACGGTCGCCGGGGCGTTTCACCTGGAAGCCGTCAGTCTCCTGCGTCGTAGCCGTGCGATGCCACTGTAAAGACGCGCACGTATGAAAACACTAATTTTATCGCCACGATGACAAATCGTGAGAAGGTCGCGTGCACGTTTGCAGACGTTTTCTGTTGTTCGCGATGAACGTTCCCGTAGTACGGTCGCGTATCGTTCCTTCTCATACCTCCACCAGATGATTCTCCGGACCGTACAGTTCCTTGTCTAATTCGATCACCAGACTCTTGAAGAAACTAGAGAATTTACGCTTCGGTAATTTGCTGTCCACCTTGTTGGTCCGCTGTTTGAAAAACAAACAACGTGACGATGATAAGAAATCTTGCTGTAGTCGATACGTCGTGCGTTCGGTATCAAGAATTTCGTACGCAATTTGCATCATTTTACTTCTTGATTGGAATATGTAATTATTTTACATCATTTATATTTTTATTTATATAATATTAATTATTTACTATTATATACGATCATACTTTTTTCAGTTTCACATCACTATGCGGCAAGCCGCGTAGGCACCTACACGGTAACATGATGACGGGTGAGACCTCCGCGCCTACTGCTCACACCTCGTACGATTAACGACCAGGAGGTTTTTCAAATATTTTTTCTGCTGCCACACTTTTTCGTTTCACACGGTTCACGATGATAACGAGCAACACGATACATGTTATATTAGGGGTAACAGGCGCGTAGCAGCAGCAGCAGCAGCAGCAGCTCACCACCACTGCAAGTAGTAGGGCAGCAGCACCACACTGGCTAAGTAGGCAGTAGCAGGGCAGGCAGCAGGCAGCAGGCAGCACCCCGCCATGTAGGCAGCAGTAAGCAGGGAGCATGCAGCGCCATGTAGCAGGCAGGGCCAGCCGCGCGCATGTAGGCAGCAGCAGCGCCGCATGTAGCGCAGGGCAGCATCGCCATGTAGGGCAGCAGGCAGCAATACAGGCCGGCAGTAGGCAGTCAAAAAAGTAGCAGGGGCAGCATCAGCCGCCATGTAGGGCAGCAGTAGGCGCAAGGCCTCACCGCCATGTAGCAGCAGCAGCACCGCCATGTAGCAGCAGCATCACCGCCATGTAGCAGCAGCAGCACCGCCATGTAGCAGCAGCAGCACCACCACCGCGCAGTAGCAGGCAGTAAGCAGTACAGCACAGCAGCTGCAGCATGTACATATCATATTTTTTTTCTTTTTTTTTTTTTTTTTTTTTTTTTTTTTTTTTTTTTTTTTTTTTTTTTTTTTTTTCTTTTTTTTTTTTTTGTTTCCCAGTAGCTTCGCCTGACACGCAGCTCCCCGTGAAACGTTGTCGTCGTCCTGAAACACAAAGCCACGTTACAGAGCGTTACGGTGTTATTTACAGTCAAAGCAACGCCGGCTCAGGCCCGATCAACCTCTGATTAGCGGCAATGACCCTTCAATAGAACGTACAGCGCGTCCAGAAACAACGTTGGGCAATTTACGCTAGAATGACATTACAGTTTTACAAATGAAAGCACCTTCTTAAATTGGCCACCGTGTCCTACAGATCACACTTAGTATATCCCGTGGAGTGGAGTCACATTATAACCAACTCTTCAAAGGGCGGCTCGAGCGACCGGCTCCGGCATGCATGCGTGGGCCACCTCCCTCGCAACGTCGGGTTTTGGCGGTAGAAGGTGTTTCAGATGATATTCTGAGCTTGCGGCTTGACCTTGATCAGGACGCTTCCAGGCCTCTGGATCTCTAGTCGCTTACGGACAATCGTAGCGTCGAGTAGGTTCGAACGCGAGCAGGTCATCGTACGCTGCGGACTCGGCACCAGATCGCTGTACCTGTAGGGCCCCCCCCCAAACGGGGGCAGACACGATTTAACACCATCAATAATGAACATAAAAAATTAAATATAAAAATTAACAATTAATACGAGACGTTACGCATCTTTGCACTAAGGTGAGCACTTACATTTCCTGCACACTGCATTGTCTGGGCACGCTCTATAGGAAACGATGTTTTTATGTAGAAGTCAGAAATCACAGGGAACTCCGAGGACGTCTCTATCGTCGTATTAATGGGGTTTATGTCTTATCGTTTATAATAAATAATAATATAATAATAATAATAATAATAATAATAATAATAATAATAATAGTTAAATTCAATAATAATAAGTGTGTGAGGCAGGTGTACCTTCTGCGGTATATCATTGTCCGGATTCTCTCTTCTTCTTTCCGGCTGGAACTGACGTTTCAGAACGTTACAGAATCACTTACAACGAAAAAAAGAGTAATAATGAAATATATTTATAATCTT